TACTTAATTAATGTTGTCTGTGAGAAAAGGTGGCTGTCATTGAGCATATGTTTTCCAAATGAAAAACAGCGTAAACCTGCAGAGACACGACCGCCACTCAAGCCTTCGGTGGAAATCAAATTTACATTCAGAAGAAAGTTTGCTTGTGAGCTTGTTACTTCAGCTCGGCAAGACACAGCAGAACGCCGTTGTCAGGACAGAGAACGTTTATTGATTAAGTATAGACACTGTCAGTTCATAATCCCAGCAGATGAAGAAATTCTCAAAGCGAAAATGAGCCAAGGTAACGGGATCAATGTCTTATTGTCCGTGGAAGCGGTTGTCATAGATAACAGAACCAAAATGACATCCTTCTGAACATTCAACCCTGACTTTTATCAGTAACAAAAGAAGTATTCATTTGGCTGAAAATCATTTTACATACATTATTTGGTAATATTTTATGTAACTGTACCTTCATAATGCATTCATAAGACATTCATAAGCAGCATGTAAGTATACATTAACAGCTTTAATATACATTAATAACAAACATTATATAGTAACAAGCAGTACAGTCATATAATCATACAATGTTTGTTATTGGAGTGTATAACAGCTACTAAGGCATGTTAGGATGTTAAGATATATATATATATATATATATATATATATATATATATATAAATACACACACATACACACACACACACACATATATATACATGCTGCTTATGAATGTTCTATGACTGCATTATAAAACCATTATGAAGGTGCAGTTAATGTGAAGTGTTACACATTTTAGAAACAAAATATATTTGTGATCTATCAAATTCTAATTAGGTCTATTCTTTTTTATACCTCTAAGTATTGATTATTTTTCAGTAAACCCCCTGCCCACAGATGCATGTTCATTATCCTAATGATTTATATTAAATCTATTAGGTGAAAATGATCAATTATACACAATTACCTATGCCTAATTTTCTAAAATGATGGTAGAAAATGCCACCTTTTATCCAAAAATAAAAGTATTAATGCGACAAAACCTTGCTTAAAAACATTTCACGTCATGGAAATGAAATAATGACATATAATTGTTCTACTTGTTCTCTGTACGTTTAAACACTTCATATGTTACATTAAAGTACTGTCAGCGAAAATACATTGAAATATGTGTTCTCAGACGAATGGAGAAGATAAGATTTCACATAAAATTCTGCACATCAGTATTTTCTAGAAAAAGAGCAAATCTTTGGATAAAAATCAGGTTTGGCCAACAGATAATTTCATTAGATGAAATTCATACTGCAGTGCAAATAATTAAGGCATCTATTTTCATCAAACTCTGTGCATTTGTATAAGAGCAGCTGGGTTTGGATTAGCGTAGCCAGGCCTTGTACAATGGGGTGTCCAGACTAAACCCAGTGATTTTACTGAGGCAATATTTTGCTGATGGGAGGGGGACCTTGGTACATTTTGCGAATGGCAAGCATCTTCCATCAATAATCTCGCAATGGAGTTGGTGACACACCATGATTAATGCCCCCCCCCCCCGAAGGGCAGTCCTTTAATACCTTACGTCTCAAGCAATTCACGTGTTTCTGGGCACAAATCAAGAAATTCAGGGCTATTGTCAATGTCCACAGTGGCCGCAGGCAAAAGAATAAAGATTAACAAGCAATTCTGAGAGGTGAGTAATTCTATTCTGTATTTTCGTGAATATGTATGAAATTTACATAATTTACATAAGTCATAAATGTATGAGCATGTGTATATGCACAATTTACCATTATTTCCTCAGAAGCAAAAAAAATGTGCCAGACCAGGTACTGTACCAGCAGAGGCAAGACCTGCATAGACAAGGTGCAGACAAACCTCAGAAAAGGTCAGAGCTTGGTGATCATGAACACACATTAATCCGCTTGTTAAATCATGACTTTTGAATCACATGATAATACAGTTTCCAAGGCCAACCCACAATATTTTCATGTTTAGGGGTGTAATGATATACAAAATTCACAGTTTAGTACAAACCTCGGCTTTGGGTTCACGGTTTGAAACAATTTTGGTGCAGCAGGGTAACACAGTTGGGAAAAGTTGTAAACCAAAGGCCATGTTTCCATTGATGTCCGAATAATAATAAGAGATGCTGTTTAAAAATTTTTTTACGTCATACTAATCATGACGAACTAAATCCCATGTTCTCTACTACCCAGTATGGTCACCTGTCTGTAGCTGAATTTCCGTAAATGCCACGGAGAGACTAACTGTTTCTGCCTATCTCCGGTGGTTCGCAAACTCAGATGACATCGTCTGAAACACATTAGCACTAACTGTAACCAACATTAACCGTAAAAAAAGCTCACAGTTACAATTAGCATTCAGGCTAGGACTCAGCAATCAGCATAGGTTTCCATGTTGAACATCTACTTGTGAATTTAGATTCTACCCATGTCAAAAAATTTGTTTCAATATACATACCAAATCGAAAATGATGTGCCGAGCGTGTACTGATGTACCCATAATTCCTCCAGGAAAAACAGCTACACTCATCATTCTGCTTGAATTAAAGGAATTTAGCCTCTTTTTCACCCATTTGGTTTTCGCTCCCCTTTAAAATTGAATTATAAACAATGCCTTGCAGAAAAAATAAGTAATGTAAAAAATGTTTTACCATTATTGTTTGTTTTACGTTATGCATTACGGCAGGCTTAACAATCGGATTTTACAAATGCTATTTGTCCCTGTAGCTTGTCTGCAGAATAGCAACATCACAAATGTTGTGGGGTTGGAGAAAGGTGCCGCCATTAGTCACCTTAGATTTTCAGCGGGCAAACTGTCACAACAGATCCCTATATCGACTTATTTATCTCCTATTAAAAAGGCTACGGTCTTTAGCTTACGTACAGCTCATTCAGCATGAATGCCAGCCGAAGCAAATTAGAGATCAGAGCCACAGCAGAGTCTGCGGCTAAGTGGCTGTGAAGCAGGCTGTGGGCGACCCGAGTGGAAAGCAGCTGCAGAGGCAATTAACAGTCAGGAGCAGGAAAACAAAATGGGACCAGATAGGGTGGCAGACTTACTTATAATCCTCTCATTCTGAGTTCTAGATCATCAACACTCGAGGGCCCTCGACAGGAATTTGGGTATCCGTCCCTGAGGGCCAAGGCTATTACACACATGAAAAACCTCCCTGCATGCATACAAGACTGATCGCCGCATGGCTTTTGTTCTGTGATGCTGTCTGACTATCTGTGTTTACAGCCTTTATGGTTTCTCTGGACGTCTCTTTTTCTGTCACCCCGCTGTGGCCTTGGATCTGTGCTTCGGGTCATTGTCATGCTAATTTTGATTTTCTGGCAGGGGACAGCAGGCTTTTAATAATCTGTCAGAGTCCGGTAATATCCGATCTGTCCTCACAAGTCCTCTAGGGCCAGAGGCAGAGGTGTGTCTCCATGGAAGGACGCCACATCCGCCAGACTCTGCTGTAGGTATGGTGCTCCTGTGATGTGCTGCACTTCGTCTTTTTTCCAGGATGTTCTGTGGTACTTTTATCACACACCAAACCTTTTTCCGCCAAGCTACAGAAGAACCAAGGTGTCATTCTTCAAATGGCAGAAGAGCGTCAATGTGGGCTTCTTTCAGTAGGTGATTTGTTCCATGATATATCAAAGTTCTTGACATAAAGAAAACATCTACAGATTTTACATACACTCACCTAAAGGATTATTAGGAACACCATACAAATACGGTGTTTGACCCCCTTTCGCCTTCAGAACTGCCTTAATTCTACCTGGCATTGATTCAACAAGGTGCTGAAAGCATTCTTTAGAAATGTTGGCCCATATTCATAGGATAGCATCTTGCAGTTGATGGAGATTTGTGGGATGCACATCCAGGGCACGAAGCTCCCGTTCCACCACATCCCAAAGATGCTCTATTGGGTTGAGATCTGGTGACTGTGGGGGCCATTTTAGTACAGTGAACTCATTGTCATGTTCAAGAAACCAATTTGAAATCATTCGAGCTTTGTGACATGGTGCATTATCCTGCTGGAAGTAGCCATCAGAGGATGGGTACATGGTGGTCATAAAGGGATGGACATGGTCAGAAACAATGCTCAGGTAGGCCGTGGCATTTAAACGATGCCCAATTGGCACTAAGGGGCCTAAAGTGTGCCAAGAAAACATCCCCCACACCATTACACCAGCACCACCAGCCTGCACAGTGGTAACAAGGCATGATGGATCCATGTTCTCATTCTGTTTATGCCAAATTCTGACTCTACCATTTGAATGTCTCAACAGAAATCGAGACTCATCAGACCAGGCAACATTTTTCCAGTCTTCAACTGTCCAATTTTGGTGAGCTCGTGCAAATTGTAGCCTCTTTTTCCTATTTGTAGTGGAGATGAGTGGTACCCGGTGGGGTCTTCTGCTGTTGTAGCCCATCCGCCTCAAAGTTGTGCGTGTTGTGGCTTCACAAATGCTTTGCTGCATACCTCGGTTGTAACGAGCGGTTATTTCAGTCAAAGTTGCTCTTCTATCAGCTTGAATCAGTCGGCCCATTCTCCTCTGACCTCTAGCATCAACAAAGCATTTTCGCCCACAGGACTGCCGCATACTGGATGTTTTTCCCTTTGCACACCATTCTTTGTAAACCCTAGAAATGGTTGTGCGTGAAAATCCCAGTAACTGAGCAGATTGTGAAATACTCAGACCGGCCCATCTGGCACCAACAACCATGCCACGCTCAAAATTGCTTAAATCACCTTTCTTTCCCATTCTGACATTCAGTTTGGAGTTCAGGAGATTGTCTTGACCAGGACCACACCCCTAAATGCATTGAAGCAACTGCCATGTGATTGGTTGATTAGATATTTGCATTAATGAGAAATTGAACAGGTGTTCCTAATAATCCTTTAGGTGAGTGTATATTTTATTGCTTACCATGTGTTAATAAAGACAAAAATAATATGAAGTAATATGTTTCAATGTCAGACTGTTAAATGCAACATGTTCCTGAATTAAAAATTGTTTATTTAACACAAGCACTATACATCGGTACAATTTACAAATACTTGCCATATTCCAGATCATTCAGAAACTGGCATCCCACACATTCAGATAAGTTTACCTTTTGTTTACATCACAAGCTCTCACTCTCTCTGTCAAGTGAGAGTTGAGGTTGGTCCATCCTCAGTAGAGTTAAGTTTTCGTTTCAATTGTGGCCTGCGACTTGAAGGTGCCCTTACTCTTTCCTCGAATAAAATATACCCTCAGTTCCTCCCTGACCCCATTGCTCACGAGCACGTAGAGCACAGGGTCCATCACGCTATTGAGGCTGGATATGGCCAATGCACCAGAGAAGTAGGAGTAGAGATGTTGCTCAAAAGCACAATACATTTCCGTATTCATCCACAAGTTGGTCATGGACCGCGCTATGAGCAGCAGGTGGTATGGAGCAAAGCAGACAGAGAAGATGATAATCACACCCATGGACAGAAGCTGGACCTTGCGTTTGCTTTGCTTGTCCAAACTTTCGCTGCGATGCACCTTGCCAAAGATCTGCCAGTAGCATGAGGCCAACACCAAAAGTGGCACAAGGAAGCCTAGACTTGCTCGAATGAGGTTCATGCGAGCCACTTCCAAAGGCATGGGGAGGTGTTCGTAACAGCGGGAGTTAACATCGAGGGGAGTGTTTTTTTTGTCCAGAGCAAGCATCAAGGCATGTATGATCATGACAACTAGGATGACAGAGCCGCAGACTGTCCAGGCATACCTCGGGCTCCGAAATGCCCTGGCCTGCAGAGGGTAGGTGATGGTGAGACAGCGGTCCACGGAGATGCAGCACAGCAGGTATGTGCTGATATACATGTTAGAGTAGAAGAAGAAACCAGCTAGCTGACAAGCCCTCGGGCCCATTTCCCAGCGATGATTATTGTAATAGTAATTGATCCACAGGGGCATGGTGAAGATGTAAAGCAGGTCCGAAATGGCAACGTTCAACAAGTAGATCCCCAGAACATTGTGGCTGCGTACCTGCTGCACGATGGGCCCCAAAGTGATGAAGTTGAGCACTACACCCACCACAAAGGCCACAATGTATATGGCCATTAGCAGATTACAGGTGGGGTTATTTGATATGTCAACACAGGTATTGTTGGTGGTGTTGTTCATAATGGGGTATCACTGTAACAGATGTACAATGAGCGTGGAATGGAAGGATTCAGCCCCCTGGAAAAAGCAAGAACAGATGTTTTACAAGAAATAGGGAAAATGATTTGTTGCGATTTTTCCATGCATTAACTTAGAATAGTGTTTCCCAATCCAGTCCTCAGGGACCCACAGACAGTCCACATTTTCGCTTCCTCCCAGCTCCCAGTAGGGGTGCAAAAATGTGGACTGCTTGGCAGGGAGCTGGGAGGGAGCAAAAATGTGAACTGTCTGGCGGTCCCCAAGGACTGGGTTGGGAAATGCTGCCTTAGAGTTCCTACTTATGTTACTTCACAGGCTCAGAAACTGTTGGGTTTCTAACTTTCCATAAACCAACATGGAATAATTCATATATATTGTTATTATAAACATACATATTTTGCATACATTATGTTATTATGATAATGCTTCTGGATTTTCAATGATTCTTCTTGGTTGATATTTCAAAGATATTATTAATTCATTGGGTTGGGTAAGGACTATTTTGGACAAACAAGAAATACAATAGATAAAAACAGAAGTATCAGTCAATGAAAAATCATCAGCTATGTCAGAGCATGTTGTGTTTGAAGTGATGCAATGCTGCAGGCCTCATGAAGGAGTCCCATGCTAATTAGCAGGAAAAGGCAAATGGCTACCAAAAAAAGCAATGGAACAGGGTACAACTGAAATGAAAACAAAAAGTGAGAGGTAGGAGAAAGAGGGACAACTGTGCCTGAGGTTAAGTCAGCAGCTGCTAAAGCTAAATAATTAGGTGTAAAGTTTGGTGCAACAGGATTAGTAGATAAATCTCGATTTAATCCAGTTTAAAGGTTAAACCATGTTGGTGCAACCCAGCCATAGTGTAGTACAGAGGCTCCCTGGGTTACGATGGAGTTACATTCCGATAAACGTACAGTATAGTAAGCCGAAAATATCGTAAGGTGAAAATGCATTTTAATACAGTACACCTAACCTAACAAAAATCACAGCCTAGCCTAACCTACCGTAAACATACTTAGTACACTTACATTAGCCTACAGCTGGGCAAAAACTTTTTCGATAAGGTCCTCCTAGGGTTAATATATTTCCCCTGATCACTATGCCCCTCCCCCCCCCTCCCCACACACACACACACATACACATACACACACACACAGACGCAACTCAGTATTCAGTACGTCGTCATATTTTGTGTTTCTGTTCGCTCTGCGATCACATTTCTTTTAACACTACTAGCAGCTAGAAATTTCTCCATGGCTCCTCCAAGTTGGTAAATATTAATTGAGCAACTCCCACCATTGTAAACTTTCATTATGTTACTAAGTCATAACAGGTTGATATTTTCAATATGTGGTGCCAGTCTACTGTACACATTTTAATTATTTGTTAGCGTCACGAAATGTGTACAGGCATATAATGTGTTCACGTTATTTTAAATATTTCTGAAGGTTGGGGACCTACCCCCCTACCCCCCGCCCCCCCAGCTCAAACTGCCCCACACAGTTCTACATCCTCGCTTCAATTCCTTAACATGATGTATAATAATTGTGTGTGTACGTATAATTATTATATTTCATGTATTTTCAGTTTCTAGGTGGAATTTCCAAAGTGACTTTCACAGTCAGACAGTCAGGTGCTTGTCTTTCTAGACAGATTAACAAGAGTGTGAGTGTGCATCTGCGCAGGCCTCTCTTCCTGCAAGTTTCCGGTCTGTGGTTTTTCGACATGAAGCATGCAAGGAGCTGACGTAGAGGCCGGGCCATGAACAGACTGTGCTGTCCAATAAAACGATGATTATCACCACCGTGCATGCTTGCTGACAGCCATCCCCCCCAACCAATGCATCGTCAGCAGGGTTAGGGGACATGGTAATGAGTCGGCAAGGGTTATATGAAATTAATTTTTAATTTTTTTTTCTCACTAGTCACCTTCATATATTGTAATTACACCACAATTTTACTTAAGTAATCCTCAAAAAATAAACAGTTTATTTAACTTATTTAAGCATGGTACTGAAAATACCCAAATACCCATAAAAAGCAATTCTATTATTATTATTTTTATTATTATTATTATTATTAATATTATTAAGAGACGTTATTCTATATACTCAGCCATCAGTCACAGCTGTTTTTGTTCCTCACAATCACCACATATTGCTTCTGGTTGTCTTGACAACCATTTCTTAGATCTCGGTTTTCTGCTTTCAGATTGACTCCTTTATGGTTACTTGTTTGAATGCTCAACTTTCTATCTCGTTATCAATTACGTTCGTACTGGGTGTGTACATTTCTGATGACGTACGTAGATCCTAAATATGTAGTGTAGACATAGTAACTATGCACTTCATCTGAAAACTTGCAACTTTCAGATACTAACTGCTGGAATCCAATATATATATATCTGTACTCTTAGGGGGATTTTGAGTTACTCACTAAAATGTTGGACCACTTCCTTTTCTTGTGCTTGGTGGAATTTTGCACAGCAGGAAAAGGAACAAATTCAGACAATCAAATTCATATTTTTCTATTTTAAAAGGGCATAATTTCAATGATACAGTAAAATCCCGTTATAACGGACTTCAAGGGACCTGGCAAAACAGTTATGTCCAAAGTCCGCTATATCCAGAGTTGCTGTTTGGCCAGAACACAACTACAGGACACCATTTACTCATGCCACACCTCAGCAGACACACTTGTGTTATAGATTATTATATTGTACATATGTAGTAACCCAACTTTACCTGACCAGATGCGTGACTATTATAATCCCGCCTACGTACAGTATCTGCGCTGGATATCACCGGCACGCCACGCACCTTGTAGGCGGACCCTGCATGTCCATTTCAGCCGAACAAAACTACAGCTAAAAGCGGCCCTGGGCACCAAATTGTTTGCTCGTTATAATAAAGTCCGCTATATCCGATGCTTTTCCTACATGTTCTTAAAGGCGCACGGCCGGGACCAGCGGACCTCATCCATTATAGCGAGTCCACTTTACTGTATACAATATATCCAGTTTTCCTGTAAATGTACTAAACATGTTTTGAAATAACTACGTTACGTATGTCTGTAAAAAAACGTGTTCCAGTTATTAAAAATAATCTCATTTGTATTTAGTTGCCCCAGAAAAATAGCAAAGATATGAAAAGAAATGTAGGATGCAAATGAAAATCAGGAATAATCAAACAGAAACTGTTCTCATTGAAAGTAGAGAAGTGTGTTTTTAGACTATCTGGCCTGTGGTCTCTAAAGTTATATATAGCTATAGAAGAAGCCCATTACTCAAACATTGGTATATGCAGTTAGTGTCACAAACCTACATGAGAGACTTTTCGTTCTGTTGACCAGATAGCAGAATTTAATATTTCTTTTTTTAATTTTACTTTTTAGTTTTAATTTGAATTTGCCTAATAAAATGTCTTTCGAAATCGTTCGGAGGTCCAAACTGGGACTATCATTCTCTTTAACAGACATCTTTAACAGTCATCTTTTGAAAATCTGTCGATAACTTAATAAAAACTCCTCAACTGGAGCTGTAACTAGAAGATGGATTAAAATTTGCATTTAATACAACTGCGGATTCAGAAAACCACGTGGAAGATGTAACAGGAGGATCGACAAGCGAGAAAAAAAAGTAGCAGCGCAGTTTTGCTAGTATATACCAACTTCATAATTTATAGTTATACTGATAACGAAATATAACCTCTATATATAATACGATATATAATCTAATCTCTCAAAATATCTAATCCGTGACCATCTAGTATGGAGAGTGTAAATTAATCTTTATAAAGATTCTTTAAAATAAATCAAAAGTCAGTGATGCTTTCTCTGTACCTGTAAGTTGTGTTTGGAAGAGAGTCACCTTCTTGTATGAACTTCAGTTGATCCCCAAAGCTGTGTAAAATGCAAATAATCCAGACCACACATACGGAGCCTGAAAGCGTTATCAGAAACAATTAAAGCGTTCTGTAACAAACCACATGTGCAATGCGAAAGATAAAATGAAAGTAAAACCAGATTCACAAGACCATGCCTTCAAGGCATGTATCATAAGACCAGACCTACAGACAAATGTGTGTTTTCTTTGTTTTACATCTTATGTTGCTTGACAATAAGATTTCCTGGTTAAACGTTCGAGATTAAATGTTGTACTTTAAAAAAATGTGTTAGAATGCAGTTCCTTTTGTAAATGAAAAATGCTTAGACTTGTAACGTGGTAGTGGTGAAATCCGGAGTTACAGCTTTGTGGGCACGTTTTACCTAAGATCAAGGGCATTTCAACAACTCGTCTCCTAAGAAACCTACCACTGAGCTTCTAACTTCCTCGTTCATTTAGAATTTATGATTGATATATATGCTGACAAAAATTCCTAATTTTGTTTTCCTTCTGTGGAATAAATTGGGTTAGGCTGGGCAGGACCTGTTATGGATCGTACGCGCCCGGAGCGCAGCCAAACAAGGCAGGAATCCAGGGATCAGGAACACGGGGTTTAATGGCAGCACAAAGCACGCAACGTTACAACATCAATGACCGGACTGGGGAAACAAACGGAAACGCGGACTAAATACAATGAACTAATGACAACAATCACAAACAGCTATAAAACACTGGGATTCCACATGAGGTTAACGAGGGGGCGTGGCACATGAGAGGAGCGGACGATCGGGGCATGACAGGACCACCCTATAGGCAACATTGGTGATCGCCTAAGGCACAAACGACAAAAAGAAGAAATAATTCTGGTTGTATTTTGTGACATTACACTCATTCTGATATTTCAGTACTTTTCCTGGGACGCAGACACGAGCTAGCTAATTGGCTAGGTAACTGGTTAGCTAGCTAGCCAGATGCCCTGTGATACTGAAATGTTTTTAATATTAATGAATTGACAAAATTAGTTTTCTGCTGCTCTGGGGCTGGGGTAGGGAGGTTCAACAGAATCTCACCTAGAGCAGCAGAATATCCAGCTGGTGATTCGAAGTACTTAGAGAATGGTTTGATATATCGCAAATCTTTCATTTAAACCATGATTCAGCAAATTGAAGAAACATTTATAACTTCTCTGGAAAAAAAAAATCACAAATAAGACCTTGGGAACAAGATTACACACTATTAATTGAATATAAAGTGGAATCTCAGATCATTCATTTTTGTTATTGTTAAACAGGGACAGTGAGATAGTGTTAAAAGTTAAAAACTACTGAATTATATAGAATAAAAAACATAACAGTAGTTACCTGATCGGCCACTTAAACCTAGAATATCTAGTGGTGCATTGATCTGGAAATTTGCTGACGGTGAAACTTGGTGATGCAAATTAGTGGAATGACATTACATGGATTTGTATCCTGTGGGGAAAAAAAAAAAAGTTTACCTGTTGGCCAGATGTAATAATGAACTATAAACGTGTTGCTCGCTCGTGCTTTGAAACCTCTTTTAAGTGATGAATGAGCAGATATCCCTCATCCTCCCACTGTGGAAAATGTTTGATTTTCCAATACAAACATCTCCATTTTCATAGTAGTTGTGTCTTTAGCTCTGGTGCTGGTAACTTTCAGTATGGATTAAGTTTAAATATCGGCCAGCAATATTGGCCATGATTGGCACGTGCTGTACTGACACGGCCAGAACTTTTATTTGGCAGGCAATCTAGTGGTGCAACGGAAGTTGTGAAAGTGCAGTGCGCAATGCAGCCGCAGGGTGCCAGCCAGGAGCGTGGGTTTTATATTAACATTGAGGGGGGAACGGGTATATCGGGGTCAGAGGTGTGGCGTCACGTCGCCTTATAAGGCGATTCAGTGGTCATGTGTACAGTTAGTTTTTTCCCGTAAACTATTGCTGTTATACGTACAATATATAAAGTGAACTGTTACTCATTTGTACTAATATGGTAGTTTAGGTGCGTTAAATTAGGCTACCTCAGTAACTCACTTTATGGCGTTTTCTAAATAAATGCCAGATCGATCTGCCCCGTTTTTAGATGGGCTTTTTACTCTTTCTTCCGCCCTAACAGCAAACACAGTGGGATGAGAATCGTGACTGACACAAACGCTGTATGTACCGCTGCGTTATAAGCCTTGCTATTTGTGTTATGCTGTTAACTAACCAAGCTCGAATAAGATAATCTTTATGAAACTTAATCAACATGAGACCATTACATTCCACCATTTCACACAGCCATTTATTAATTACAGTATTAAGGTTTTCAATAAGTTAAGTCTCATACAAATTGAAAGCGTACCGCACTTTTCCGCTCACCGCATGTCGTCGCTTTACTTGCGCGTCTGGAAGTGAGCGTCTGCAAGCCGGAGCGGGAGTTTAGAATAAACCATTTTAACGGAGGTTAGAGGTCCTCCAAATAAAAACTGTAAGAGAGAAACTTTAAGTTATGTAATGAGATATATTAATCCTAAGCGGTGTTTTGTAAATCATGCATTATATATGTGATCCCCCCTCCATCTCAACACTGGACCTCAAAATGATAAATAAAAAAAATAATAAACGATCCGTTAAGCTGTTTAGAATACTTGTGTTATTTAGGCATTATTCAGAATGTATCGTGATATGTATCGTATCGTGAGGTTGCTGGCAATAGCCAGCCCTAGCCAATACCCAGGGGCGCCGTAAGGGGGAGGAAAGCTAGGACGATTCCAAGGGCCCCTGAGTGACAGGGGCCCTACAAAATTAGGAAAATAACTGGATTGGTTTGGACTGGGGGGCCTAATATGATATGCTTTCATGGGGCCCAAAATCTCTATCAACGCCCCTGCCAATACCAATATGGTAACTGATATATCATGCATCTTTGAGGTTAACATTACTTTTTACTTAGTTAGCTAGTTAGTTACCTCAAAATTTTGACATTACTTCCTTAGCTAGTGTTTATAAAAGAAAGGCATTTCCCTAATGCATTGTAGCGTAAGGATTCTTAACCATTACATCACTGCAAAACAAGGGCGAGTGTCCCAAAAGCCTCATAGCACAAAGTAGCGCTTCTTTTATAAATTTTAAAGAGCCGTCGCATCATCATACGTTTGGCAAATTGGCACGCCGGTGCTTCTACTTTGCTCATGTACCTGCAGCAGGTGAGCATGCAACCCAAAAGTAGAAGTTTCATAAAGGAGGATGCTACCTCCAGAAATCGATAACTGATTCTGTCGTTCTGTAAATGCAGAATGATTAATGCTTAATAACTGATTCATCGCGATGCATCTATGCATCTTTACCGCCCTATCATCCATCGATCATGACTGGTACAGGGTTGAGTGAGTATGGATCCCATCTGAAGAAACATAGGAAGGAACCCTGGATGAGAAGCCAGTCCATAGCCTCACACTATAAGGCACCAGTTTACTCTGCATGCCTTTGGACCATGCAAGGACACTGACAAACCCAGAGGAAATCAAAGCAAACATGGAGAAAACATAGAAGGACTTCAAACTGCCCGCACCATTATCTTAAAATGGGAATCTGTAAACACAGAGTGCGACGAGCAGTGCGACCTGAATGTGCGAATCTATTGCCATAAATGTCACAGTAGAAGTGTACTTGCAAAATGTTTGCCTACAGGCAGTTACACATTTACAAATATGATTTCGGATTTGCAAGAAATTTATGACGTACGATCACTTACAGTAAGTGGTCCTGGGTGTGATGTTAAATTGCACCCACCCCTGCAAGTGGTCCTCCAACTTACAGGGAAAAATTTGGAGCCTGGACCGTTTTCTGCTCTCTGCAGGAGTAGCTCTGCTGCAGCCGCCCACAGAACGGCTGCATGTCTCATGAAGGGGATGTGGGAAAGCCCTCAGGAGCCTCAGCCCCAGAAGAGTCGAAACCACTGGAGAGCCAATGGAGTCGGGCCTGTTGGGGATCGCGATTGGTGTGGCACTGAGGCAGCACCCGCTGCACAGCAGCACCTCAGTCCTCATCTGATGTGGCATATGCGTGGAGCATGTGGAACGTCTTGTCTCTCTGACACGATGACCATTTTTCTCTGCTGTCGGAGGAGCTTTGTGAACTCTATGTTTCAATGGCAGCACTCTCTGAGGTACACAGTTCGGGGAGTGGCCAAACCTCAGCTTACCTATTATTGGTCTGCTTGCCCTGCTGGCTGCCATACTCAGGGAGCAGCTGTTGCTGTGGTGGATCAGCTCCTCCAGATGGTGTTCGATGTCACTCCTTTCAACGAGCGTGTTATGAGGCTCAAGCTAAGGCACTCTCTGGGTGTCTTGTGTGTTGTCTCAGCGTATGCTCTGACTGTGGTGAGTAATATCCCGCGAGGGAGACATCCCCACAGGTCTGGCAACCATGGTGAAAGTGGCTGCACGTTCCTTGACTTTGTGAAGGGTTAGGGGCTGTGGGTCTCCGGATCCTGCTTCCAGCTGGTTCCTGAGCCACATCATGTGACTTGGCACTCCAGTACTGGTGGCGCAGTGAAGGAGATCAATCACATCCTCATGGGCTGATGCTGGATCTTGACTTTGGATCGTGACTGATCTTGACTTTGCAGACGATGCGGAGTCAATGAAGGCTCCGATTAGGGCTCTTGAGAGACTGAGCAAGAGTCTGGGCTTGCAAGTGTCCTGGATAAAAGCTGAGATCCAGGCCTTTTTTTTTTCTGACCTTTTCATCAGCAATGTGTCTGTCTGCGGAGAGAGTGTTGACCACATTGAGAGGTTCGTTTACAGTACCTCGGAAGCACCTATCATGGCTCTGATGACCCAAATGAGGCACATTACCTGCATTACCTACTCTAAGGTCGATCCGGCTTGCAGGATCCTCATTGCTGAGGACCCAAAGGGCTGGACCAGGTCGAGGAGACGCCCACGTAACACCTGGCTGTGGCAGATAGATGGCTATTTCCGGAGAGTGGGACTGGACCCTGTGTTGGCCTGGGGGGGGTCGCCAACCGGAATCCCAAGGTGCTTTGTCGTGTGGTTGGTGCGGCAATGCGTTGTACCAGTCTACTTTCATAACCACTACAATGCCGTTTGCATACATATCATAACTGAATCATTCCAGATTTAATTTATACTCGGTCTACTTTCACATTACAAGCCTCATTGTTCAATTCCGATTTTCTGCTCAGATCGGTATTGCCTTTCTTGACAGTTCACATTTATAGATACAGTAGCCTGTATCTATATAATGTAAATGCATCTGTTCTCCAAAACGGCACAAATGCCCACTCTGGTATGATTTTGTACAAGTCATTTACGACACCAACAACAAGAAAAGCTCAGCCCATGCATTTATTTATCACATGGCCATGAATCGGCTACATATCTGATTTAGGACTACATATGATTTGAAATATCATATTTCTGTGTCCACACAGCCCAGAAATGTTTCACTCATTTCTCAATTTATAGGTGTGCTTCTGTGTAAACTATACATTTTTTTGTAAACTACAACCTGGTTCTTCCCTATATCTCATTAATGAAGGGCTTCTTCCTTGCTTTATGAGATCTCTGGCATTAGAAAGTTGCTTCTGCCCTCAACCTGGGTGGTTTTTGGTCATGCTCAGTGTTTCCTGCTTCACATTCTTCTTGTGCACTGCGGTCTTAGATATTTGGAGCCTGAAAGCAGTCTTCTGCCTAGCATAGCCTCCTCCCAGCAGAATCACGCTTACAGTTTTTCTCGGTTGCTTAAACACACTTCTTGAAACTATGCCTCGTATTCTCAAAACAGTAAACACAAATCCATAATGTCTTTCCCAAACATCGTATTTTCAGGTCAAAATGAAGCTCTACACTCAAAACCATTCACTGTTGCTGAAAAACCAAACTTTGCTCACAGACATCACACACAAGGCCTCAAAAACACACACACTACAACATAGTCTTACACATTGGTGCAATAAATTAAAAACAATATTGCCAAAACTGGCAAGTTATGTTGCTTGTGGTTCTT